TCAGGGGGCAACAAACCCGCGTGCATGCCTCAGTTGGGACGTTGGGCCACAGCGCAGTGGGGTGTAAAGAGGCGATTCGAACAAACCGCCGAAGCAATCAGGGCATATCAGGGGATAGTTGCAGATGTATAAGGGAGTATGCTTGGCTGTCTCAATCATGGTATAGTTGTGTCGCGAGTTACTGGGGCTTTGTGCAGCTGCCTGGGCTCTGGCGCCATGGCACGGCTGCGTCATGGCTTGGCCCTTGCCCTGCTGGGCGCGCTGGGCGCACTGGGCGCTGGGCATGTCCCCGTGGGCTTCGTGGGGCCCCGGGCATTGCCTCGTCGGGATGTGGCCCGCAGCGCGGAAGCGGACCAGGCGCTAAAGAGGCGGTATGTGCCCGGGCGCCGGGTGGTGGCAAAGCGGAAGGGCCCGAAGCCCGCCGTGGGCATGCCCAAGACCCGCCGGGACCTGGGCTGGCTGTTGATCTTCGCCGGTTTGGTCGGTATTCTCAGCGAGCCGGGATCTGAGATGTCCGACATGTCTGAAGTGGAGACGGGACTGACGAGAAGTGCTGGCGAATGGGCTTACTCCTCTCCAGCGATTGAAACTGGCAGCATTCTCATGGCACGACCTGGGGATACCTTTGTTGATCACCAGCAGTACTTCCACAAGTCAGTGATCCTGGTGCTTCGGCACGAAAATGACGGCGACCAGGGCATCATCATCAATCGGCCCAGTGGTTTCAACACGGCCCAGCTTGGCATCAAAGGCCCAGTTTGGAACATATGGTTTGGCGGTGACTGCGAGGGCATACGGGGCCAAGGTAGCGTGCGAAGCTACTGCCTGCATGTCTCAGATCGGTTCAAAGACGTGTCAACAGAAGTGACTCGGGGTGTTTACCTCACCAGCTTTCAGAAGGCGAGGGAACTGGTGACGCAGGGCCGCGCTGATGCATCGGACTTCATGCTGTTTCTCGGCTACTGCGGGTGGGGAAGAAACCAGCTGCAGGGTGAGCTGGACCGCGGAGTTTGGAAGATGGCGCCTCAGCTTGAGGCTTGGTCTGTTTTTGGAGGTTGGCAGGCGCCTGTGCTTTGCAGCAGCAGATGCCGGCAAGGTTTTGAAGAGCTGTTCGAAGGTCAGGTGAGTGGAAACACTCTTTCAAGAAGACAGGTGACGGATCGACAGGACTTCAAACTGGGTTGCTAGAGATTCTGTTCACTGCCCGGGGCAGGCAGAAGGCGCTTTCTCGTTGCTTTGAGGAGTTGTGGGAAGAATTGTGGGAGCAACACGGAGGCTTCGTTCGGCTTAGACGGCAGGTACTTGCCGCTCAAGGGCCAGTTCATCACAAGCTTTCGGTAAGTTCGGTTTCGGAACTAGGCAGGCTTGCTGAGTGAAAATCCCCCTGCAACTGCAAGCTTGTTTCCGGACGTGACTCAGTGGATCTAAGCATCCAATGATGCGCGCGTTGACCTCTTGGCAGTGCATGAGTTTCTATCCTTCCTGATTTTTGCTCGTCGCATTCCCTCATTCATTTCCGCTCCTCTCGCCCTTTGACAGCGGCCATGGTTTTGCTGTCGCCTCCCCCACGCATTTGCTTTGGGTCTTCTACGGGTTCTTCTGTTCTTCCGGGCCTCGTGACATTAGACCCTTTTGTGGGACTTGGTTTTCTGTTTTCTCCAGGTCCCCTTTGATTTCCGTTTTTGTTTTTTCCCCGCGGGCGCCCCGCCATCCTCGCCGATCGAGGCCTCGGTGGACAGTCGGCTCCTGGTCCGCGAGCTCCGCGAGGAGTCCCTGGAGCTACGGCGCCTGCCGAGTCTGGGCCTGGACGACGGGGTGGGGCTCTGGCGCCACCTGCTCCTTGGATAGCGAAAAGCGGCCATGGGGTGGACGGGTGGAGAGTGGGAGAGAGAGAGAGAGAGAGGGAGAGAGAGACCGCGAGACAGCGAGACAGCGAGAGGGAGGGAGGGAGGGAAGAAGGAAGAGAGTTGTGCCCGTTCAAGTTTTCAGAAGTTGTCATTCTCCGAATCCCTTTGCATTTTGAAAACAATCGTGGTGTACTGTACTGCGTTAAGTGTTTGGATGGCCACCTTTCCGTGGAGTTTCCAGGCTTTGTTCGAGATGCCAAGGCCCTACGCAAACACGCCCCTCCAAAACGCCAGAATGTAAACTAGATTTAGAAGGGCGCAGGTCTGATCAGATCTCGGAGTCCAAGTGGTTTCAGATTGCTCAGGTTGTTGTTTGCAACAGCTTTGCGGATTGTGGCAGTGCCGAGTTAGATGTTCACGGCATTCCTTGCTAGTGCACGAAGGTACGCGGTTGTGGACTCCAACGTCCCCGGAGCTCGCGACCCTTTTGAGTCCGACATGCTGGACTTTGAGAGGTCGGAAGGGGACGCCTTTGGGGACGTGTTGCTGCGGCAGTGGGTCATTCAGAATTTGACCCCGCATGAGATCGAGATCGGCTTCGGGGAATGAGTGTGAGTCGCTGAGTGGCGAAGAGACTGCCTTGACTCATGACGGCCTGCACCCCGTGAGCCGTCCTGGCTTGTTGAATACATACAGTTTGCCCCAGCCTGCTCACCAGGCGGCGTGCATGTGATTAACCATTAATGTCTTTCAGTGGGTGAGCCTCCTTGTTTTCCAACACCTGCAGAGACTGCCAAGCGTATGAAGCCATGTTTGGAGACAAAGGATGTGTGGCAAGCACGGATCAGCATGGCAAATTCGAGTGGGAGCTGCTGAGAGGGTGCCATCGCTTTCGCAATGGGCGACGTGTTCATATTTGAAATGCATTTTGTCATGCTCACGCTGACTGACCTTGACTTCCCTCGCAATGACAACTTCTGGTTCAGCCAGTATTGCCCTTGCAACAACTAGGTTGAATCATGAGCAGCTCCATGCACAAACCAATCTATAGTGCACTGCGGCACAAGGCTGCAAATTTCTGATGCATTGGCCTGGCTCTCCCAACGAAATTGCAGCCTGGCGAAAAACAGATCCCTCTTCGCGATTCGCATTCACACTCTTGCACATTGCTGCTTTCATACCCAAGCTGCAGGCAGGTTTGAAGCGGCGGGGCTCAGGGCGCGTCACTCTGAGCGGAAGCTCCATGTACAAAGTTGAGGTTTTCTGCCTTTCTGCAGGCAGGAGGCTGTCTGGCGCCGCGGGGTTGAACAAGTGCGTGTGACAAGTGTGACGGGGCCAGGCGAACGGCGAACCATGGACCTCATGATAAGCAACCGGCAGCCGCACATGGCCCTTTTGCCATAGGTTCTGCATACGCAAGTGAGCTCAAGTGAAGGTATGCATCGCGACTGGTGTTGATGTTGCCGATTAAACTGACATGCATTGTGGAACAACACTCGCTGCAAAAGGGGCTCTCATATCTTCAGACAGGCAACTTCAGACCGGGCCTTGTAATGTACATCTTCAAAGGACAGTGAGCATGTCCTGCTTTGCTTGCGGGCAAGTTTTGCACGTTCCCAAGATCGCAAACCTATGAATCTCGGGATGAGTTAGCATGTGCCCCGCATTCCGTTTTGCTTCAGAAGGAGAGTTTCCTAAGCCTTGAGGCGCTCCGGTAGCCTGCCGGCGGCAGGGTCTCGCGCTGGGCTGCCAGCGTGTTGGGGTGATGGCAATCCTGTCTTCTGGACGAATCGTGTCTTTTTGGAGTCTTTGTGTTGGGTAGGAGGACAGTTACCCAGCCTTTGCAGTTGCTCTGGAACTTAATGCGTGCATGAGTTAAGGAGACCCAAACCCCTCTGAAGCGCAGGTTCATTTGGAACTGAGAGGCATAGTGCCAAGGGCAAACGTTGTTTACCAAGTTGTCCATTCCCATCCTGGTCATGTGTAGAACCTGGTGGGAAGCGCCTGTTGGGAGCGGGAGGGAAGAACAATGTAAGGATGCACGCAAAACACCGACCTGTGATCATGCTACAGTTTCTCTTATCCTTTTGGCCGTATCGTTTGAAGTTGTTGCTTTGCGCTGCTTGACATGAGTTTCAGTGATATATCATTCTGTGTGAGCTGACTGCGGTCCAAGAAATCTGGCTCCGAAAGATTGCTTTTCCTTTGCGGGCTCCGAATCGGCAAGCATGCGGTCTTGGAGCTGCCGTATGTCCAACCCAAAAGGTTTTCACTTTCTTATACCAGCAGAGATCATGGATCGGGGCCTGCATTCAGTGTTTTTCTTTCAGGCGGCCTTTTCTTGCCGGGTTCCTGTGACACGAGGGGGTGGGCAAAGTTGGGCCAAGTGACTTCCAGCTGATCACTCCGTCCCTTGTGCCTTTTCTGCCAGGCTCCGTGCCACATGTCAGGGCATTTACCGAGGGCAAAACAGGCATGCCACTTCTGAACATACATCCATTTCAGATGCAGCGAAGGACAGAACGATGCGGCTTGCAGTTTGATGCCATCAGCAGCAGCTTCTTCCAGCTCTGGAACAGTGACTTGCATTTCGCAACAGCACTACTACACGTAGTCGACTCTTTTATTCGAACGCATCACACCATAGCTTGGCGCTGTTCTGGGTTGCGGCAATGCCTTGACGCCATGGCTGGGGCCTGGCCTCAAGAGGCTTTCAGACATGTGGCTTGGCGCATGTACGTACAGGGCAGGGACATTTGCAGGGCGCCGCCACTCGGTGTCAGTGTAAAGTGGTTTGCCTGGCTCCAGCACGGTCCTGTCCCCCATGTCAAAGAAGTGAACACCTCGCAGTTGCAATGTCCATTCCGCACGAGTTTCCTGATGTCTTCAGCAAGGTCCTCCAAAACAGAGACACAAGTGACGTGGCACACAAGCACTGCACCAGAAATGAGTCTACTGAAATTCTGCTGGCCGGTCCAAGGCCGTGCAGCATCAAGCTTCGGATCCACCAGGCCTGCGGGCTGTGCTGCGATCGCGACGAGGAGAGCGCTGGATCCATCGGTCCGGCAGGGGCGAGGGGGGTGGTTTGTGGACCGAGCCCTGCAACGCGAGGACGGCAAATATGTGGAGGTGTCCTTCAACGACCATGTCCGCATGTCGCAGAAGAGCACCGGCTCTCCAGAGAACCCGGCTCCTCGCCTGTTTCGCGATCTGCAAGGTTGGCAAGTGCACTTTAGCTAGGCCACCTGGGAGAAAAAGATCACTAGAGTGGCGGTGACCTCGCGATTGCCGAGTCCATGCTGTGTGACCTTTGCCAGCCTGTGAAGCAGCCAGCTGCTCAATCAGGTATGGGACAACTCAATCATGTCCATCGAGCTGACAGATGCAGCGGTCCCAGAGTGTACCTGTGGAAAGCGCGCATAAGGCAGGGCCCCAGCCACCAAAGGCTGCAGCCAGACGGAAGTTGGGCTGAGGACTTCCAGCTTCAGGATTATCCGCTGCGGCTTGGGCTGTGCAGCTCGGAGACAGGCCACGGGAACCCCGAGCTATCACTTGCCCAGGAAAGCATAGAGAGACCCAGCCGGGCTCGGGAAGTTAAGTTAGGGCCCAACTGCAAGAAGGAATCGAGAGATATCGAGAGGCTGGGTCCCGGAAATTGTGACCTGGGGAGCTAGATGTTTCGTTTTTTGCCTTGGCAAATGTGTCGCTTTGGCGCTTCAGGACCTCCGGATTATGGGTTTGTCATGATCAACTTGGAGCAGATCCTGCACAGCCGGACGGAAGTAGACCCTGATGCATCTCAGATGACAATATGAGCGCTGAGGGAATTCTTCGACTCAGCAAGATCAATGTAGCCTGCCTGGTTTCCTGTGCCGGAGCTTTCGATCAGCTCTTGTATGTCTGAGCCGAGGAAGTGGTCAGCATGAAAGGCTGGACCATTTGCTTGTATTTGTTAGATGTGAAACAATATCTGGTCAGACAATTGACGCATTATATGTATACATATATATATATATATATATATAGCTGATTCCCTGATATTTGACAAGCCGTGCTTCCTTTGAGATTGGGGCCGGCACGGCCAACACCGAGCCTTCAATTTCTGCCAGGCTGGTTCCCCCTCTTCGACACCATGACGGGCGTGCGGGGCCGGATCCTGGCCGCTTGGAAACACTTTAGACGTGGGGCTGGTTACAAGTTCCCCCTTCGCCAGTGTCATGAACAACTGTAACAATGCGGTGGTTTGGTCGGCGATGGGATTCTTTTCCAATATTTTGCATTCTGAGCAGGAGGGTGCTTGTGGGCAAGACCCAGAAAGCATGAATCCGGCACAAGGTCTCCATCAAGATGCAGTTTGTTGGGGACCAGTCGTACAATGACCGCCGCAGCCCTAGCAAAACGGGGGGCGTGCCTCCCAATGAGGTACAGAGAAGTACCGGCACGGGGTGCTGAATTTTGCGTTGCCCCCCCCCCGAGCCAAACAGCTGTTTGTTTTTCAACATCTTTTCTTGAATGCTTTGGATGCCCGCGCCTGGTCCCAGGATTCGCCTCCTCTGTGGGAGTGCGCTTCTTCTCCATCGCCACGCCGCCTCAGCCGAGTGCTCAGGACCTGGCTCAGGATGGTTAGGCCAGGCGCAGTCAGTCTTAGTTTATGCCAGGTGCGCCAGTGCTTTGCTCCAGTGGCTGGTGGGGCGCCGGTTTTTGACAGGTCACTTGTGCAGCTCATGCATACCATTGTTGGTGGTATGGAGTCCGAGAACAGTTGGTTGACTTCTTGGCATGCTTTGGCGGTAGCCATGTGAAGATTCCAGCAGAATATGCTTAGCTCTCATTTGGAGCTTGCATCCAGTTCGCGCAACATAATTTGTTGGTATCTGGCCTCCGCCTCCTGTGTCCAGCGCACGCTTGCGGCGTTAAGGTTGGTTTAGGATTGGTTCAGGCGGTTCAGGGTTGGTTTTTGGGGTCGGTTTTGTCTGCGGTTTGGCAGGGTTTAGAAAGGGCTTAGGGTTTCGGCCAATTGGCCCTTCGGCCATGCTTCCCTCCCGTCACTCAGCCCTCCAGCCATCTGGCCATCCGGCCCACCCACAAAGATTCGACGTACTCCCAGTTCCAAAGCTGAAGTCAGTTTTGCAGTTGATGCACCACTGTTGGAGGTTTGCGTGTGAATCAGGCTGAGTCTAGCTCTGAGTTTTGCCCATTTCTTTGTCACCAACGCTGCACCGGCGCTCGTTTCTGCGAGAAACATGGGCTCTCTGGCCCTCAAAGCGACCGCAGCGAGGCCCGGGGTCTTCCTGGTGGAGCAGCTCTTGGGCTTGGTGGAAGAGCTGCGGGTGGTGCAGGCGACTTTGTGCGATCTTGCAAGTGGCTCGGGAACGCGAATTTTGGGCATTTCTGCATTATTTGCCTCAAGTCCAAGCCGGGGAAAGAAGTGTGAAAGATATGACTGCCAGCCTTTTCTGTCGAGGCAATGTTGACACATCCCACCACTTCTTTCCCATATTTCATGCCTCTCCAGTTCTGGGACTACCCTGCACGCTTTCAAGCAGCCACTATCCGCTTTCTTTTGAGCGAAAGCACAGCTTTTCTCTGAGCAGCTGTGCGAAGGACCCGGAGTACAACTGGCGGGACCTGATCCGCTCCGACCGCTCCTCCAACGAAGAGCGCCTGAGGCCGGCCAATTTACTTTGGGAAAGTGGGCGAAATCAGATTGTTCGCCCCGTGCAGCCCCCGAGCGTCTTCTGCCGGCAGTTGGGCGGGCGAATCATCAATGAGAAAGATAGCGGATCAGTGGAGCGTTGTAGCAGGTCGGGAACCATTTGGCATTCAATCAAGCAGAATTTGCATTGCTCAACCTCCAGCTTTGCCGCACCATTTCATTCAGCCAAGCTGAGTCCAGGGTCTTCCACAACGCGGCCATGCGCGCGCGAAGAGAACTGGGGAAGCAGGCCAGGTGCGGCTCACCATTCGCTGAGCCAGGAGGGGCTTATGACCGGACCCAACCTCTCCTTGAGTTGAATGGACTGCGCAGGTATCCCGTAAGATTGCTTTAGGCCTCAGAGCGCTTTTGTCACAGGAGCTGCTCTCTAAGTTCATGTTGTGTTGGGGTCCACTTGCTTTTGCAGATGCTTGGTGCCCTTCACTGGCCTGCTGCCGCAGTAGAATTTCAATTGAAGGCAGTCAACAGTGTTATCCCCGTGCCTCAGCACGTACTGATGATGATGAGAACACGGTGTTCGTTTCCATTGGATTTGATACTGAGTCTGATGCTGTTATGTGTGTTGAAGCGTTGACTCAGCAAATGTGACTCAGCAATAGCCCGTGAGCACCTGACGACGGGATCGCCTCAAAGAGGTTTATCGATTTCTCCAGGGCCCCAAGGCGGTGCCCACCTTTGCCAGGTGCGGCGTCTCGGCGCGAACGCAGGGCTGCCCAGTTTTGGAGGGGAGACGGGAAGAAGATTGAAAAAGGAAGCAACGGAAGCCGCAAATTGGCGGCCCGGAGCACAACCTGCTCTCGGTCCGTCGGTGGCTATGTGTTAGCTGCTCGGAGGGCAACTGGCACTTCGCGCGGGGCACCGGCTCGGCTCATTCCAGCTGAGCACTGCTAGCCCCGCGGTTGATGGCAGAGGTTGTGGCACCTGCTAAGCCCCCATCATCATGAAAGGGCTAGCTCGCACATGAGTTGATGGGGCAGTTGAATTGTCTTGAGCCAGTTCCTTTCGTGCGTCTGCGCTTGGAACTCGGCGGGTTGTTACACACGCACGCACGCGCAAACACACCACATGCGATAGAGCTCAAGCTCCACAACTGCACTGGCGTAGCCAGCCCAGCCATGGGTGGGTGGGGATCTGAAGCAGTTCTTGTCGACGATGTCGTTTTCGGACAATGGAAGGGACAAAGCACAAGCGAACTGCCCCCGAAGCTGGTAACTGCGTTTGCTCCTTTGCCAACCTCCTAGTTTAGCACAAGTGGGGCATTTGCACTGCCTTGCCAAAACTTTTGCTTCTCCGGTGTTCATGAGGCGGTGCTTGGCTATCGAGAGTACGTGGACTTGGAGGGAGATGCCAGGTGCTCAGACCGTTCAGCCTGGTGCGCATCTTTGGTCAGTCTAGCCGCTAGCCTTGCCCCGCGCATGTATCGTAAGTGTCACTTCCAAACCTCATGGTGCCATGACACGGGTAGCCGCAGGCACGAGACTAGAGGCATGGCGGCATGCCCGGGCTCAGCTTCCTGCATTGGATGGTTCCCAGGGATTAAGAAGCCTCCTGTAGATTATTCCCGGCATGTTAATCCATTGCAGGAAGCCCAGCCCCAAATTGCGGCACGATCTGCATGTTCTGGATTGTCGGGCGAGGCGACTGACCGCATTTGCATCCGGGCCTTTGGCACGGCAGCGTTGGCTGCTTAGAATCTGTAGACTGCCAAGTGGGACGGCGTTTTCTCTTTTTTTTGGGGGGGGGGCTGCTACTTCCAGTTGGCGTTGGTCGGTGTTTGCCTTGGATAAATGAGGCTTCCATGAAGAGCTTCCCCCAAATGCTGACAGTTGGAAAGGAAAACTGACTCCCTTTGTGGCATAGATGCCGTGCACACCGATGACCACCATTTTCCTCCACAGCACAAGTCAAGCCTATCATGACTATGTCAGCTGATGAGTGCTGTTTCCAAGAGGAGGGATAAGACATTGCATGACATTGGGATTGGCTGAGTTGGACGCCAGTGGATGGCTTTCAGCTTCCCAAGTGCCCCCCCTCCCAAATGGCCCGCGTCCCCGCAGCGGGCATGGAGGGTGCCTTTTGGGCGCTAGAAGCCAGCTGAAATCAGCCGAAAGTGTCGCCCAGGAAGATTGTGACCGCAACGACTGGCCTCCTGCGGCAAGTGAGTGCCGAGGCCAGGGGGCCAGAGGGCGAGGGAGGGCGAGGGAGGGCTCGCCCGAATGGTTGAGCGCCCATCGTGCTTGCAAAGGTGAGCGTTGCACCTTTGCAATTTGGGTCCTGCGTCTGACAAGGGGAGTCGATAGAACAACTCCGGCACAGCTGTCACAGAGTATTCAAGACAACCAGCTGCAATGCGGGACCATCATGAGTTCTTGCTCACGGCTAGGTGCTCTTCGCACAATTGGCACTTACAACACGCGCTTGTTTACGGGCTAAGGCGAAGCTCAGAATATGACAACGCAAGACCATAAAGCGCTTGAGAAAGAAGGAGGACTGCAGACAGCGTCTTCTAGCAAAAAAACAGCTCCCCTGACCAGGCATCTTATCCGCGCTGGCGTCCATTTCCTGTTTCCGCAGCTTTGCACCTGGAACTGCCCCTTTGGACAGCCACAAGGTGAGCTGATTGGACCAGTTTTCATGATCCCGTCGGGGACTCTGCTCATGGCCACCGGACTGCGGCGGTGGCGGCCTTTCGCCCTGGATGCGCGCATGTGTGTTGGTCTGTGGGTTTGTGGGTCCGTGGGTCTGTGGGTCCGTGGGTGGCTGGGTGGCTGGGTGGCTGGGTGGCTGGGTGGCTGGGTGGATGGATGGCTGGGTGTTTGTTTGAGTGTGTCTCTGTTTGCCCACACTTGTTTTCTCCGCGCAACTCAAAGTCGAGAATGTGCCCTCCCCAGGGAAGTCAAAAACCGTGAAAAACCTCAGCTTTTGTTGTGATGGCCCTTGGTGTTGCTCTATGCAAGGTTGGTCCTGGCATGCGTAGTCTGAGTGGTAAGCCCCGCTAGGCAGTGCAAATTGATGCGTACACTAACTCAAACGACAATCCTGTGTTCTGTCAAGTTCAGCTTGAACGGCTCGCAACAGCTTTTCAGTGTTAATCTTGACACGGACGACTTAAACAGCATCCTTTCTCAGCAGGGTTCCCCAGCACAGGCAATTCCCCAACTTCTTGAATTCCTCTGAATTGTTGGCTTGATTTCTGGGTTGTTTCTTGATTGCCTGGCTTCTGATGCTTTGAGGGGCTTCCTTTGAACATGACCTCAAAATGGTGTCCTTTTCCCTTTGCCAAAAGGAAAAACGAGCGATTCCGAGCCCCAGCTGGGCTCAGGGCAGCCGCTCGCCCCGGCGCATGAGCGACGACCTGCCGCATGAGCGCCTGCCGCCGCTGGCGCTGCTGCCAGCGGCCTCAGGCGCCAGTGGGCTGTTGGGCTGGGTCAATTTCTCTCCAAGGCGCCCTCCCAAACCCAGATCTGCCTTGGTGGGGATTTACAGGGGAGAGGAATTGATTGTTTGCTGCGCGTTTTTTCCCAGTCAATTCAAGTTAATTCCTTGGTTTGCTTTGGTCTGATAGGTATTTGCTTAGTGTCATGCTTTGACATGATTTGCTTGGGTGATTTTGTATCACCTTGGTTTCAAGGTACCTGAAGTACTAAAGACTCTGGTTTACAACCATGCTTCAGTGGTAGGGCCATGCATCAGTAACTGAGCTTGTTTGCACTCATTATCGGGCAGTTTCCCCACAAGGTACCCTTTGGTACAGTTCACGAGGTGCAAGATGACTACGTGTTGTTTTCTTCTTTTTCAGAGCGCATGATGGCCACCTCCCCTCGGTGCTATCAGTCACAATGCAAGCAGCCCGCTACTTAGGTTAGGTTCAGACTTGGTTGCAGTGTTTTTTAGTGAGTCATATGGTCCTTGATTCAAGAAACTGTCCCGCGGATCCTCCTGTATGACAAAAGAAGAAACTGTTTGGGCGCCGGAATGAGTTTGAACTTGCCAGTTTCCACAAAAGCAGCGCAAGGCCTTTGCTCACAGCCTGGTCTTTGACTGGGAGGAGACTGCGCCAAGCAGCGTCAACAACGCGTGGTCAATACCCTGAAGTACTAAATGGAGCTCACTGTAAGCTTGGGGCTCTAACAGGCTGCAATATCTATCTCCAACACCCACCTGCCAAGACCGCAGGTTGCGAGCCCATGCCCTTGCGCTTGCCTGACCATTGCCAGGCGGAGCACAGTCTGATGCGCTCTTCAGCGCAGTCTCCCTGACCCGCAGCAGCAGCTCGGATGAAAACAACTTGCCACAAGATGGTGAACCATCGCTGGCTATGTCCGATTTTCTTGGTCCAACAGTGCTCCCTTTCAGTTTTCCCCAACAGCGACAGCTTAACATAGCCAATCTTGGTTTGGGACGACCCTGGGGGAGTTTTTGGAAGGGTTCTGAACCGGTTCCGGGACATTTCCGGGAAGATTATTTTGGCCAATCCTCGAGATGGCGATGGAGAGAGAGAGAGAGAGAGAAAGAGAGAGAGTTGCCATGGTCAAAGCAGGCCTAAAACAGGCTTCTTGGAAAACATAACGAGCTCCTTCGAAATCAACGCGGTCTTGAAAGAGAGTGGCATTCGGGTACACCGAAGTACTAGTTCAATCATATGGTGGAATTCATGTCCTGAGCTGCTTTACCCTTTGCAGTGCCAAGTGCACCAAAGCAATCCATAGGTCGAGGGGTTTGTTGCATGATTTTCGTTCGCAATCAACGCATGTGCCTAACACCTAAACTATTAATAATTACTATATAATACTGAGGCGTACCTTTGCATTTAAATTTTTATGTTGTGCTGGAGGGCGGCTTGAGAACCCCTTAGCAAGGAAGTAGGCGTCCAGGAAGCGGGGGGCGGCCTAAACATGTCCCGGGCGTTCGGCTTGTATAACAGAAAAACCGGTCCCACCGAGATCTAGCTTTTCGTCCTCGTTGTTTTGAAGGCTCCAAGAAGGGTGTCACATTTCCACATGGCTGTTGCACTAACTTCACTGTGCTGCATGTGTTTTCAGGCTATCGTCTCGGCTCAGAGAAATAGTGGTGCCAATGCGCATGAACTCCCATTCTGTTTGAATGTGAAAGCGTGGATTCCGCAGTCGAGTCACGACCCTCTAAAAAGCAGTTGTGTGTTTGAAACTGCCTTTGTCCAGCACATGTGCATCAGTGCCAGTATGCTGACATGCGTTGATTTGGACCCAAACTCGGAAAGAGACGCGATGAAGTCACGTTGCGCGATTGAACACTCCCTGAGGCGACGAAGTCAGCGTCGGCCAACAGCTTACTGGATATGATATGTGGATCTGGGATGGGTGGGCCATGCTTGGCTCCCTGATGGCCAACCAACTCATATCCTTGGCAGGCATGAAACACGTGCCAGCTTTAGCGGTTGATTACCCACTAAGAATGCAAGAGGGTCTATACACATCTCCCAGGCAGAAGGCATGCTTCACATGTCTGCTGCTGCCATGCATGTTCCTGGTTCCGCGAGCCGCGAGGCAGTAAGAACAGAGAGGCACAGGGCTTCTCCTCGTTGCCTCGCCATGGCACGGGCTCAGGCGGCAGCGTGGTGGAGGGCCTTGCGGCGGAGGTGCTGCAAAGAGGCAGGAAGGTGACAGTTCCCACAAAGCCAAGTGCCACTTGTGGGCCGGAGACAAATGCGTGAGATGTTGGCGCCCTGTTGATGCGGTACTCGTAGCATGGCTGGTTTGCGATGCTTGTTGTGAAGTGCCCAGAAAGCTTTCTCTGAACGGCCTCAAGCACGTGTCTCTGCGGTTTGCTTTCAAAAAAGGCTCCAGCCACAATTGCACAGTCAAACGCAGGTCGATGGTTGTGTAGCGTGCGAGACAGCTGTTCTTTTGATGCCAGGCGTTTTGCACTCGCTGGACCGACTTCCGGTGGCAGAGCAGCTTGCATGCATTTTAAAAGCCGCGGCGGTCGCCGTTGAGTGCGGTGATGCGTTTGATGTGGGCATCTGGTTGCAAGCCTGCGCGGGTACCGGCTTCACTTTTCCTACCTGGGTTATATATATATATATGTGTGTGTGTGTGTGTGTGTGAGTAGCAATGTGTTGGAAGCATCATCGGGTGTGTTGCGTTAGTGACTACCCCGTGATGTTTGGCTCAAGTTTGGATCCGTCGCGGCCTCGGATGAGTGTCGCCGGGTCCCCACGTCGATCACACACGTGCCGGAGGAGCAAGAGACTTCGGCCCGGGGCAGGTTGGTGGGGAGTGTGCGTGCGGTTCATCGTTGACACAGGTTGCAGGTATCCTTGTTCCCTTTTGGTTTGGTTTGGATTGCGGTTGTTTGGTCACTTGTGTGTGGGAAACCCTCATCTTTGGGACCGGGGATTGGTTGTTGTTTTGGGGTCTTTCTGTTGTGGCTTGTTCACCCCAACTTCTCCAATTGCCTGTGGAGAGGTCCGTGCCCGAATCACAGGTTATCAGCCGTAGGACTTTCCTGCGCGCTTGTGACCTTCGACTACAAGTGCTATGGACATGCCGGACATCATCTGCGAGGATTTTGAGGAGAGTTTGGCAGGTGGTGGTCGCATGGGTGATGCTCCCGATAGGGACACACCTCGCGGGCGCGGCAGGTTTGTGGACGACAGTGATGATCGATTGTTTCGTCAGGTTAGTGGCTTCAGGTCAGGACGAGGACGACTTCACCAGCTTTAGGTCACCAAGCCCGGTCGAGCTGAGGTCATTGAGGAGGACATCAATCGAGGACAGGATTTCCAGATTGATGAGGAGGAACCCCGATCCGCTGTTGGACCGTCAGGAATGATGAGTGTCATGGATATCTCGCGCACCACTTCGGGCTGGGGCGTTAGCCGCGCATCTGAGTCGGCTGCCGATTGGATGCATGGCCGTATTGAGACCAGCCTCCGTAGTACTGAGGTCGTTAGACAAGCTGCAAGCATTCTGGATGAGGCATCTCGTCATGGCAGGCTTGGCGCTTGCTGAGAGGCCTTTAAGGTCCAGCAATGAGTTCACTCCTCAATGGGGGGAGGGAGGATCAAAGGTCCAGCAATGAGTTCACTCCTCAATGGGGGGAGGGAGGATCGACGAACAGGAGCGAAGCGTATCGGCAAAGTGTCCATCACCGATAGGTGAAAGACATGATAGGTCGAAAGCAAGAAGATCCAGCCCCGAGCCCGGGAGCATCTTTCATGAAGCTGAAATACTGGACGCAGCGGATGTCCATATCCACTCGACTCCTGAATCCCGAAGGTCTGACCGTGCTTCTGCTCCGGCGTGAGCCGAGGTAGAGTCAAGCCTGAGCAGGTCCGCGAATCCCGCAAACAGGCTGTCGGTTTCTGTTTCTCGTTCTCGCGTTAGCGGGACAGAACACCCTGAGAGAGTTGACATTTCCACTCCTCCTGTTATCAGGCCGCGAAGTACTGATGACCAAGAAAGGGAAGAGTTTGACGCCCATCTTCAATCACTCGTTGAGTTGAGAGGGGTGAAGTTTCTGGGGCGATTGCTGTGGTTGCATTTGCAGGCCAAATTCGCATAATGAATGGCCAGATTGCATCCATGAATCGGGCAGTCGAGGGCTTATGCGATGCTGATCGGATGCGGATGATTGTTCAGCAGTTCGCAAGGGAAGTTATTCCCGACACTCAGCAGTTCGTTAGAACTGCTTTTGATGAGCAAGACATTGCTGTCGAAGCAAAGTTCAGCAACATGCAAAACGAAGTCCAGAGATCCGTTAGGAAACTCGAGGAGGTTGGCGACCTCGTGCAGGAACGCGTGAGGGTTCAGCACCTTGCCACGCATCGCCACTGAGGACTAGGGCGATCGGGGAGTTTGAGAACCGGGCTTCTCGTTAGAGGATCTGGCTTCTCAGGGCCTCTCCGCAGTTTCAAGGACCGTTAGGGCCTGGGAAGGACCATCATGTGTGGACGATGAAGAAGATCCAGAAGCTCGAGGATGAGAGCAGAACCGCCGTGTCATGCATGGAGAATGTCATGCGTGATAGACAGGTCATGAAGAGGGACTTCGATGAGCTCCGATCGGAGGCCAGGTCTTCGTTGACCCTGGCTGGGTTGATTGGTCGATCCCGACCGGCTTCGCCTGCTCAGGCGTGATTCCTTTCAGGCAATTCATAGGAAGATCGAAATCCTTATGGCACCAAGCGTGAAGGTTGGCCAATGGTCGCATGACCGCTATTGACAAAAACTTCTGGAGCGAGAGCCCAGATCAGGGCATGCTGACTGGACCCAAACCATATGGCGAGTAGCTCCGGTCATGGCTATCCTGGCGGATCTGGTGGTGCGCCAATCCAGCCTGGCAGCGCACCTTACGATAGTGGTGCGCAACGCAGAGTGGGTAGTTTCTACGGACCCGGATATGGGGACGGGGTTAACCTAGGTAGTGGAGGGAATGGCGTTAGCCAAACTCAAGGCTTTGCAGGTTACCCTTCCAGGATTGGTGGCGGCAGCAGTTCTGGCGCTTGTCCGTACGGTCCTGGGGACGGCCGACAAGGGGACGGAGGTTTGTTTCCTGAGGACAAGGGGGGATGATGGGCGAAACCGGTGCACTGCGTGGCAGCGGGTTGGTACGTTGCGGGGTGCGTGGCATGCAGGTCGGCGACATGTGCACCGTTAGGGGCTCTCTTGTCAAACGTTGCAGGTAACGATAAGGCTCATGACACATGTGCAACGATTACGTTGCCGCCCGAGCCAACAGCTGTTAAGCTGCGTGAATGGCTCTCGGAAATGAAGGAAAGGGTAAGGAATGCGTTAGTTTTGATTCCGATTACGCGTAAGCGTGGACCAGCTTGGTGGCCCCTGCAAGTATCCTGTGTTGGATGCTCGCTTCAAGGAACATTGAGAATCAAGGACCCGGATCACCCTGAACACGTCGCCGTGAGGAAGGCAACTTCAGCGGGATCATTCTGCTATAGCGATGTGTTGGAAGCATCATCGGGTGTGTCGTGTTAGTGACTACCCCGTGATGTTTGGCTCAAGTTTGGATCCGTCGCGGCCTCGGACGAGTGTCGCCGGGTTCCCACGTCGATCACCCACGTGTCGGAGGAGAAAGAGGCTTCGGCCCGGGGCAGGTTGGTGGGGAGTGCCCGTGCGGCTCATCGTCGACCCAGGTTGCGGGTATCCTTGTTCCCTTTTGGTTTGGTTTGGATTGCGGTTGTTTGATCACTTGTGTGTGGGAAACCCCTGATCCCAGGATCGGGGATTGTTTGTCGTTTTGGGGTCTTTCTTTTGTGGCTTGTTTACCCGAACTTGTCCAATTTCCTGTTCTCGCAACCAACCAAGCCATAAGGGAAAAATCATGGCTTGCAACAACTTCTCAGACGCGAGGGCGTAGCTGCCAACTCGCCACGTCCGTAGATACGCCTGAGACAAGTCACGCAACCTGACTGCCCAAGGCGCATCGCAGTGTGCGGCGTGGTGGCGGCGCGGGCTGTGAAGGTGTTCGGCTCACGAACCACTCAGGACCGCCAAGGGAAGCGACTTGTTGCTTGCCTCCACACGGAGGGAAGTCCACATTTCCTACTCCCGAAGGCATCCTTTTCCAATGATGTGACTTCCACAAAACATGAACAGGATAAAACGGCTGTTGTTTCATGGGACGACTGAGGAGTTTAGGCAATTTGAAGCATCGACTGAAATGGGTCAATGGGGACGCGCACCAAGGTGAAGAACCTCTCACGCCAGACACTTCTTGCTGTTTGGGCACGGCAGAAGCAGGGTCCGAGTCTGGAGCAGGCGTAGCCTCTTGACTCCCAGTGTAGGAATTTGAACTGGCTGATTGTGTTTTCGTTTGATTTCTTTGCAACCGTTTGCCGCAAACGGTTTGCGGCACTTTGGGCGATCTGCAGTCGTGTGAGATCAAGCAAGCAACGGGGGTGCTGCCACTCCCGTACTGCAGGGCTTGCAGATCCCAGATCATGTTTGTTTGTGTTTACACTAGTTTTTCGGTCCACGATCGAAATGGGTGGTCACCCGCCAGGCAAATGCCACAAACTCACACAAGCGCATCAAGGGCCGTGTTGTCAAGGGAAACCTGTTGTGGGAGTCGCAGCATGCGATTAGGGCATGCTGCGTGTGGAAGGCAACAGAAATACATCAATCTCAAGTGCATTGGACATTATATGCGAACCCATGGAGGTGAAAATAAGGGAATCCCTGTGCGTACGGACCGGCTTTGGAGGAGGCCACGCGCTTGTCTTTTGCAGGACTTTACGCGCTAGATTGCATGACACGCGCACGCACACATGTCCAAGCCCGGGCCATTCTGTACGCAGGACAGTCGAGAGTCATGGCAGCTTGGCAGCAATCCGCAGCTTCTGACTATCTAGGTGCAGGTGTTGCAATCAGCTGTGGCTCAACCATTGGGATGATCCCTCGGGGCGGCATCATTCAACGGGTTGCATCAAAAGAAGGTCATCGCACTTTCTGTCCAAAGGCTCGGAATCGACGGAGCTATGCATCGAGCGCCCCATGCGCTCACAGATGAAGACGCGTAGCCTTTCCAATGTTGGCCCCTTGGTGTTTCATTTCAGTTTTGACGGGAGCAGGCGTTCCTTGAGAAGATGTGAGTGGCATACCGCGTCTTCCACTTATGTAGGGCACATGCACCCGGTTACATCTCCCGCAGCTTGCCTGGTCTGTATTGCTGTTCCCGCAGGGGCAGAGGGCCATCCGATCCCAACGCTCGGTCTATATTGCTCATGGCATTCCTCTGAGGTGGTCAGACCTTCGTGAGGAGTTGTTGTCTCATGCAGGGGCCTCAGGATCCTTGACTGGCTGGGTTTAGCATGGTAGACAAGGGAAGGAATGGGGTCTTGCTTTTTCACAAAGCCGGCATCACAACCAATAGCCAATAAAGCTGGTCATCGAAAAGACAGGCCGCAACTCACCAGGGGGTTGCGAGCGACCTGCCCCGCGTCGCAGGCACGAGCTCTTGGCGGCGACTCCATTGCCACCTGGTCCGCATTTAGAGCGTTGAATCATTGCAACTCCTTGTGCAGTTGAATCGCAGACACCCAGTCGAAATATTTTTTTCCTGGCCAAGGTGTGTGTTGCAAGCCTGGAATTTGTACCTGACCAGGGTTGGGAGAATCAAACATTGGAGGCATCCACACCTCTTTGGAAGACAGAGCATCTCAACATTTCTTTGACCAGGGGCGTGGCTTGCTGCGACAACATGGGCTTTGACTTTGAAGCACAACATGAAGAACTTTTTATGCCTGCGCACACACAAATACGATCTATATAGTTACACGTACATGTGTGTTTGTGTTGGTTCCTTTGTCCTCGAGCAGCCGCACTCTTGGACTAGGGAGCATGATTTTCCACAGCCACCCAGGCAAGGTCATAGGCTGAATGTCTTGTTTCGTCGGCTCGTTCTTGCCACTGCCTCTTGGTCCTACCAACCTTGAAACAGCTGGGTTTGTGAAATAATATGTTGGGAAACAGGTTGGTAACATCGACAAGTTCAATCTAGGGCCGTGGCCGGACATGCGTTGGCAATGTCCAGCCCGCACGCGAGGTGAGTTTTGTAGGTTCAACGCGTTGGTCGTCGAAGTGCCCTAAAAGAAATTGGGGCCGTGAACATGCGTTTTTATATACATATACATATACATTTGTTTACATATATATATATATATATTTAAGGGCTGCCGCCCAGTGCCGCCGACCCCTTCAATTAAATGAACGAATTCTTGATTCTCCGGTGCGGCGTTCGCGAGCGAGAATCGGGAATGCGCCAATCCATTTTTTTCCTGTGGGGGGGGGACCTTTTCAGCTGGATGGGCACATTCTTGATTCTCCGGTGCGGCGTTCGCGAGCGAGAATCGGGAATGCGCCAATCTACTTTTGTTTTTTTCTCGGGGGGGGGGAGACCCCCTCAGTTGGATGGGCGCATTCTTGATTCTCCGGTGCGGCGTTCGCGAGCGAGAATCGGGAATGCGCCAATCCACTTTTTTTTTTCCTGTGGGGGGGGGGACCCTTTCAGCTGGATGGGCGCATTCTTGATTCTCCGGTGCGGCGTTCGCGAGCGAGAATCGGGAATGCGCCAATCCACTTCTTTGTTTTTTCTTTGGGGGGGGGAGACCCCCTCAGTTGGATGGCGCCAATCCACTTTTTTTTTCTGTGGGGGGGGGGGGGAGACCCCTTCAGCTGGATGGGCGCATTCTTGATTCTCCGGTGCGGCGTTCGCGAGCGAGAATCGGGAATGCGCCAATCCACTTCTTTTTTTTTTCTTGGGGGGGGGGGAGACCCCCTCAGTTGGATGGGCGCATTCTTGATTCTCCGGTGCGGCGTTCGCGAGCGAGAATCGGGAATGCGCCAATCCACTTCTTTTTTTTTTCTGTGGGGGGGGGGGTGTGTTGTTTTCGCACAGATTGATCTCCCGCAACATTTGGCTCAAGGCCCCTTTTGCATAATCACGACCATTCGAGCGTGAGGACAAAAGAGCCATTGCAGGCCGCTTACAGGATTATCCATCAGACAATCCACCAGGGACAATCCATCCTCCAATTATCCATTGTAGGCATACTGGACTCTCTCCGGAATAGATTCAGGGACCAACAGCGACCTCAACTACCACAGGGTTCCAGTTCCCTCCGGGGATAGGCACCTGGGGCAGTGGGCCTCAATTTGTGGTAGCGGAGCGGGTTTTCCGCAGAGATCCATGGGAAGATGTCATCAGATGGAGAAGGTTTCATGGAAGCCTACACAAGTTCGGCAAAGCCGAGCTACACGGAGGAAACACTTAATTTATCGATGACCGCCAAGCAGCCGCCATCGTACGACGGAAAAGTCAGCTGGTTCAGGTATGAAGAACTCGTGGACGACTGGGTGACAATCACCACAGTAGAAGCAGCCAAGCGAGGTCCATTGCTTAAGAGCAGACTCACTGGAGATGCTTACATGTACAAGGCCGTCCTCCAAAATGACCTTTTGCAAGATCCTGATGAAGGAGTCAACTATTTCAAGAACACGCTGAAGAAGTACTTTTTGAAAGGTGCGATCAACGTGTATCTGTACAGACTCCTCAGTTTCTTCAACCACAGAAGGCAGAACCAAGAGTTCCTCATTTTTACCTCAAAATTCGAGATCCTTCTCATGAGATTCAAAACAGCATGGATGGACTTGATGCCAATCTTTACGGCACAGTCTCCATCATTCCGACAGTCCGTACAGGACGCAAACGCGAGAACAATTGCTCGACATCAGCAAGCAGCCGGTGCTCGAGCACCGCCTCCAGCCCTGCTAAATGAGGACGATCCTACAGTCCTCAGACAATATATCCAAGGAATGCAGGACAGACAGCGGGACGCATTTCCCTTCGGGGATAATCTCATTGCACAGTTTTTCATTATACCAAGTGAGTTGTCAGATCAACAAAGAGAACGACTCACAAGTGCAATGTCATTTAGGAGCATCTCACTCGAGAATTATTCCTATGAGATGCTGAAGACACGCTACCATGAACTCTTCATCACTACGAGGACATCGATCCAAGATCCATCCATTCGACCTCAAGGAGGCAGCCGAAGCAACACATTCTTCATCATCGAACAAGGTGAATACGAAGGAGAAGAAGGCTTCTGGGTTGAGGATGAAGAAGGACTTGAAGGATTCATGTCAAACAACGATGAAGAGACGTTCTGGGTCCTCGAGGAGAACGATGCACGTATCACATCTATTCCTGAACAAGCACATTGGAACTGTGTACGTAAGGGAAAGATCCACGTTCTCGAGATCTTTGCAGGAAGTGCCAGATTCAGTCAATGCTGTGCACTGTCAGGTCTTAAGGTTGGGACTCCCGTGGACATCCGCACAGGATTCGATGTAATGACATCCAAGGGACGACACATGGTCATGGAGATCATCAGGGAACAAGCACCTGATGTCATCCTTATGGCACCAGTCTGCGGACCATGGTCAAATATGCAGAACATCCAGCAAGACCAGCAAAAGGTGGGGGAAAAGCGGAAACGCTACCTTCCCATGGTTGAATTTGTGGCATCCATTGCGCGTTACCAGTTGAAGCACAGAAGATACTTCATTATCGAAAATCCTCAGACATGCAGGATATGGTATCTGAAATGCATGCAGCAATTGTTTTCAGACCCATCCGTGACCTGGGGAGATTTCCATTTCTGTGCATACGGACTAAAAGATCCTGAATCCGGGCTCAGAAGTCTCAAGCCCACGAGCTTGATGCACTGCTTACCTTCCGAGGTTATGAGACCGATCTTCAGAAGGTGTAAAAACTTGTCCAGCTCAGTAAAGCATGAACACCAACCCCTAGAGGGAAACGCTGGTTCCTTCGGAAGCAGAACCAAACTGGCACAGGTGTATCCTTACCAGTTCTGTCAGGACCTTGCGCACATCATCTTACGACACTTGCAGGTGAAACCGCGTGACAACGAGGTGTACCTCTTGGAGGACCTTTTTGAACCATTCACCATCAAGCAGGTTGATATCCTGAGAAAGGAGATGGAAGCCATTGACAAGGAGTTCAACATGACCAGCAGCAGTCTTGCAGTCAGAATCCAAGACCTGCCGTTCAACAAGGATGTTCAACCATTAGTCATTCAAGATCCGCTAGTTCAGAAATTCCAGAAGACGATGAAGCAGTACCCACCTGGGACTGAAATTGATATCTTCAAGCAAGATCCTAATGACTGGCGATGTCAGAACATGTGGAACGGCTGCAAGAAGTTGAGGCAACTGTGCATCTCATCCACGCAGTATGATGC